CCATCTTTGCACAATCCCAAATCTTTTTTAAAACCCACTCTTTGGTAGGTGGCTCTTCGCTCCTCCAGTATCAGGCAAATGAAAACCTTGCCACAGCAATTACATATAAAACTGAATATACAGCCTGTTTATCAAAATCTTCAGGAATAATGCCTAATAGAAAAACTTCAGATTTAAATATAGGTTTTTGTAGCATTTCCTCAGTCATTTGTGTATTTTAACCCAGTATTTTTTGCCTTAACACAAGTCCACCACAAATGACAAAATATACCATGTTTGTGTTTACATTTCTAACATGTATTTGACATAATTGGAAACATTTTTGCTAATCTATTTGGTGATAAATACCATCTGTAAAACATTAAATAAAGGTTTTGTTTATTTGTTGTTGTTAGTTGCAAAGTCATGTCCGACCCATCACTACCCCATGGACAACATTCCTCCAGGCCTTCCTGTCCTCCACCATCCACTGGAGTCCACCCAAGCTCACACCAGCTGCTTCAGTGACTCCATCTAGCCACCTCATTCTCTGCCATCCCCTTCTTCTTTTGCCATCTATTTTCCCAGCATTAGACTCTTCTCCAGGGAGTCCTTTCTTCTCATTAGGTGGCCAAAGTATTTGAGTTTCATCTTCAGGATCTGGCCTTCTAAAGAGCACATTTTAACTTTTTGAGAATTCATTCAGATGATTCTGCAAAGAAGGATGATTCTGGAGAAAAATCAATTGTACCCTTCCATGGTCTCATATCATTCAGTGATTTTAAAAACTGAAAGGACCAAGTCATGGAGCAAATATGGACTGAGTCATGGAGCAAATTTGAAAAAAGTTGCAGAGGAAAAAGTGGCCGAAAAAGCAATGCAAACTGCAGCTCTAGAGAATTCAAGACCACATTTGGGTTTCAAAGAGTCTGGGGAGGCACCCCAACACCATCCTTCTACCCATGTTCCCCATCCACTAGAATGGGCATTTGAGGGCAAAGGAGGAAGATCTAAACATGCTATTCCCACGGTATACTTTTGCAGGGACCTATGGAAAGACTTTTCCAACATCCTGTCCTTCATCTCTGGTATTCAGCAGATTAACAAGAACCCCAGGATCTTGCCCAACCTCACCCTGGGCTACTCCATCCATGACACCTATTCCGATGCAAGGGTGATGTTGGATGCCCTGCTGGACCTTCTCTCTCCGGGGCAAGCCAATATTCCCAATTACGGCTGGGGAAGCCACAGTCACCCACTGGCTGTGCTGGAAGGATCCAAGTCTGATTTCTCCATCCAGATGTCCACCATCTTGGGTGTCTACAAGATCCCACAGGTGAGATAGCAAGTGAGGGTTGGTGGCAAACATTTGGTTGAAAATCAGACTTTTGCAGCCTCTTCTGGGAACTCAGAAAGGGTTGCTGGAAGTACACAGTTAGGCAGGGGATGGATTTGAACAGATGAACATGCGTGCAACCTCAAAATATGTCTTTCTCAAGTGCCTGGAAAGTTGTATCATTTAAGGTTCAAAAAAGCATCAATTTCTTGGAAAACCTACCCATAGTACAGCAGGTAGAGAAACTGTGAAGACCAGATCTAAGTCACATAGAGTTCAACAGGACTTGCTTACTACATTGGGCCAATCATTCTTTCTTTCATGGTATTTAAATACACTAATAGGGGGTGGTCAGATAGGGAGTTTGTCCAGGTTATTAAAGAGCACTATGTATTTGCCATTCAAATACTGACTCGTGAAGCCAAAGTTTCCTGCCTATACACTGCAACATGAGGACAGCCAGAAAAAGAATACTTAAGGGAGGCAGGACAAACAAGTGGAAGAGAAGGCTGTATGGGCATTCTTTTTAAATGCTGTGTGATTCTTCCAAGAGGCTTTCAGTCCCAATAGCTGTGGATACTGGTCAGAAGGATGCTTTTGCCTTTCCTCCCATGTTGCCTTTCCTGCCCACACATGTGTATTGTGGATAAAAAACCAGCAGTCCCATGTTGAAATCCTGCTTCTTTGGTGTGAACATGTGCAGAGTAAGAATGGAAGCATTTTTCTAGCAACGTGCCTTCCTTCCAGTAGATGGGACCCCTCCCACAGTAACGGTTTGCATGGTTTGCATATCTCCAGCCACCATCCATAATGGGGTGGGGGGCATCAAGGTCTTGATCTGCTGATCTGAAGTGAAGCAGATGTGCACCGCTTGCTTGTCTTGCCAGGTTAGTCATGCTTTGATCACTCGTGTTCACAACGATCCAGCCCAGTTCCCCTATTTCCATCCGAGGGTCCCCAGAGACCTGACCCCGTACCAGGGGATCACCAGACTGCTCCGGCATTTCTGGTGGACACTGGTGGGCCTCGTTGCTGCAGACACCAACAACGGGGAGTAGTTCATGAGGACGTTGACAATGGAGCTTGTGCAGAGTGAAGTTTGCATTGTTTTCAAACAAAGATTTGTAATGATGCATTCAATTCCACTTACTTTATATCCAGTTTCATTTCATGTCTCAGCACAAGTCAATGGTTTCGTGTATTGTGCAGAGTACACCTCTTTCATAAGTGGACTGTACATCGTACAAGATGGCACTGCTTACTACAGCAAAATCCCTGGAGGGAAAGTCTGGATAATAACAGCTGCGTGGGACTTCAGCTTGGACCTGAGCATTTATCAACATCACCCAACCACTCACAGGATATTCTCCTTTCTCCCACACTCAAAGAAAAGGGTCATACATGAAAATCTTTACTCTTTTTCCTATTTTATTGAGGATTTTGGGAAGAAATCATTTGCATGTGCATACAGAAAGCATGGCCTGTCCGTGAAAGGGATGGTGAGGTGCAGGGAGACAAAGAACCTGCAGGCCCTTTCTCAAGAGGACCAGGAGAGGATCCTGTCACTGGACAGCCAACCACTTACCAGAGCGTCCTGACAGTGGCCTGTGCCTTGGATGCTGCCTACAGTTCCAGACCCAGATGGACAGTTACGGAAGGTGGAGGCAGACTGCATGGTACAGCCATGGCAGGTACTCCCTACAGCCTACAGCCATGGCAGGTACTCCCTTCTCACTGATCTCCCTGCTGAATTGGAGGATTTGTTTGTCTTGTCTTAGCATTTTAAGCTGATTAAAAGCAGAGTGTAATAGCAATGTTGGCCACATCTGATTTTGGACTGCACTGAGTCAGACCCTTGGACCATCTATCCTTAGGTTGCCCATTTCTAAGGCAAATTTTTTGCAGGGTTGCAGGTAGCATACTTTTCTAGCTCTGCCAGGATATGCCATGGATTATCCCCTGGGCCTTTTCCAAGCAAATCAATGGGTTCTCTTGTGGGACAATGGGGCCTATAGAATTTCCCTTCCAAGTGGGACAACCGCTCAAATTGTTCCTCTTCCTGCACCCACGAGAGTCCTGAATGACAAGTTAGGGCCATCTTTACCTCCTTTACCTTTGTGAAGTGCCTATCTGGAGCCCTAATAGATCCATGGATGGCAGGTTGAGGGCCTTTTATCCTGGGTTCTCAACTTACAGCACCATCTCCTATTTCATTTTGGAGTTTCATCATATGGCTTTCAAGGTAAGAACATTGGCAAGTGTTTTTGAATTGGCCTCATATGTGCAATGCCAACCAGAGTTAGCTAGACCATCACTTCGCTGTTCATGAATGATCCCCCGCCACATTCACCTTTAGCTAGCACTGCTGCCCAGGAGCTGCCCTGCAGGTGTTTCTCCACTGCAACACTGCTAGAGAGATTTCTACTCTTCTCCTGATGTGACTATTCCTCCTCAGGAGAGCATTTTCACCTTCATCTGGTGGTTCAACTGTAAGTCTTCCACACTGGTGACCCTGCCATGGTCTCCGGCATCTGTGAGAAAAAAATGGAAGGAGCCAAAATTTGATGCATTGCAAGTCAAAATCAGTTCCAGAGACATAAGTGGTTGATGTAAAAAATTGGTAACACAGATTGACCAAATGTTGCTTTCCCATTAATTAAATCATGGTGTTCCCATTTCTTCCTAGCTTCTCCATTTCTTGAGGGACTCACGGTGTTCCAATACTTCCATCATGGAAGGGGTATATGTGGATGAGAGAGGAAACCTGGCAGGTGACTATGACATCATAAACTGGGTGGTGTTCCCAAACCGGTCTGTTGTAAGAGAGAAGTTTGGAAGTGTGACAAGATGGGGAGATCCAAGCATTGCATACTCCATCCAGCAGAAGGCCCTTGTGTGGCCTCAGAAGCTCAACAAGGTCTGGAAAAAGATTTTTTTTTAAGGGCTGCCAGAATGATCTCAGCATGTAAGGACAGGACTCCTGACTTCCAAAAGTTGGCTTGAGGGGATGACATGCTAACTTTCCAGAAAGTTGCCCTGACTGCAGACCACGTAACTCCCAAAACCTTCAGTGCCCAAAGGTCCATTTGCAGAGGGAACCCCTCACGGTACTGCTTCCAACCCAACTATGGCTCAATGTACTTGCCACTGAATTGCTTCAACGAAGATATTGTCTTATAAAGATGTTAATGTCTTCAGAATAATGGGCATTTCCTCTGTCCTGCTAACAAGCAAGACAGTCCTTAAGAAATACTGCCAGGGAACATTGTATGGAATATAAGAACAAATGTGATGTTATTTTCCCTCCGCCACTAGCAGGATATTGCTATGTGTAAAGGAACACAAGCTATGATTCTGGCCCAGACCAAATGTCCCACTCTGGGACAAACAGTGTTTCCTGCTTGCATCACCAAGATGCACAAACCTCCAATATGAAAACACAAGGAGAACCGTGACTCTAGTCTGAGCTGTTGCACACTTTGGGGATTTCAGTCTCAATGTAAGGAACTCCTCAGATGGAGCTGTGAAGCTTCCATTGATGGAGTCTGACTGCCAGGGCTTAGAATACAGTGCTGTCACTGCAGAACATCTGCCCTCCTGGCAGATCAGCATCTTTTCCTTCCTGTGCATCAGTCATGTGGACAGGTCACTACATGCTGGAGAATCCAGACTCAAATAAGGCATGATGCAGAGGCCTATGTATTTCCGCATCAACTCTGCCTCTTGTATCAGGTGATAAAAAAAAAGCCTAACACATTATCCTCAATCTTTTGAGAATGATATCCTCAATCTTTTCTCAGCCCCTGCACCAATCCAGGTGTGTAGAGAGCCGCCACCTGGAATTCTTTAAGGTGGCTCAGAAAGGAAAGCCTGTTTGCTGCTATGACTGCACTCAATGCACAGAAGGGACATCTCCATTCAGAAAGGCCAGCTGCATTATTATTAGTTTTCCCATTCTGAAGATGGGAACTGAACTTGGAGGGAAAGCATGTGGTCTGGAATTGTTCCAGCATTGCTGTAGGAAAGATATTCAGGCAAAGCACCTGTCTTGGGGAAGGGTCCCACATGCCAGTCAGCTCTTTGCCCAAACCAAAGTACAAGAAATCTTATGTTTGGATATGGATAAATGTGCAGAGCATAGCTGAACTAACACAAAATATGCTACCTTCCGATTGCTCTGAAGTAAGAGAAGAGGTTAGAAGCACCACCACCTTTGTCCTGTTAGAACCTTTGTCCTGTTCTTCTCTACATGGCCTTCTCTTTGGAAATCCAGTCTCTTTGTTTCTTCAGACATTCAACTCATCTCCTAAGATACAAGATCTGAACATGCTCTTCAAATTGCATATTTGTGCAGGGCAGCATGGGAAGACTTTTCAGAAATCCTGTCCTTCCTGTTTGCCATCTGGGAGAACAACCAGAACCCTGGGATCTTGGCAAACCTCACCCTGGGCTACTCCATCCATGACATTTATTCTGATTCAAGGATAACATCGGATGGCCTGCTGTACCTGCTCTGTCCAGGACAGGCCAATATTCCTAACCACAGCTGCAGAAGCCCCAGTCACCCTTTGGCTGTCCTGGAAAGATCCCAGTCTGACTTCTCCACCCAGATGTCCATCCTCTTGGGCATCTACAAGATCCCACAGGTGAGAAAGAGGGTTGGGGTGCTGGCACACATTTTATTGAAAATCAGACATTTGCAGGCTTCTCTTGGAACTCAGGAAAGGTTGCTGGAAGTCCACAGAGAGACAAGGGACATGGAGTTGAAGAAATAATCTTGAGTGCAACCTCAAAATATGCCTTTCTCATGTGCCTGGAAGGATGTTTCATATTAGGTTCAAAAAAGCATCAATTTCTTGGGAATTCTACCAGGAGTGTGACAGGTGGAGAAACTGTGAAGGCCAGATAAAAGCTAGAAAGAGCCCAATTGTTGTTGTTAGCCACGAAGTCATGTCCGACCCATTGCGACCCCATGGACAACATTCTTCCAGGCCCTCCTGTCCTCCACTATCTCCCGGACTCCAACCAAGCTCACACCAACTGCTTCTGTGACTCCCTCTAGCCACCTCATCCTCTGCCGTCCCCTTCTTCCTTTGCCATCTATTGTTCCCAGCATTAGACTCTTCTCCAGGGAGTTCTTCCTTCTCATTAGGTGGCCAAAGTATTTGAGTTTCATCTTCAGTATCTGGCCTTCTAAAGAGCAGGCAAAGTTGATCTCCGTTAGGACTGACCGGTTTGATCACCTTGCTGTCCAAGGGACTTGCAGGAGTCTCCTCCAGCACCACAATTCAAAGGCCTCAATCCTTTTGTGGTCAGCCTTCCTTATGGTCCAGCTTTCACAGCCATACATTCCAACTGGGAAAACCATAGCATTGACTATGCGCACTTTTGTTGGCAGGTTGATGTCTCTGCTTTTTAGTATGCTGTCTAGATTTGCCATAGCTTTCCTCCCCAGGAACAAGTGTCTTTTAATTTCATGGTTGCAGTCCCCATCTGCAGTGATCGTGGAGCCCAGGAAAGTAAAATCTGTCACTACCTCCATTTCTTTCCCATCTATTTGGTAGGAAGTGAGGGAACTGGATGCCATGATCTTAGTTTTCTTAATGTTGAGTTTCAAGCCAACTTTTGCACTACTCCCATCTCTTTAAGAACTTGCCACAATTTGTTGTGATCCACACAATCAAAGGCTTTAGCATAGTTAATGAAGCAGAAGGAGATGTTCTTCTGGAGCTCCCTAGCCACGGCTTAGAATGCTGTGCTGTCCGTCTACACCATCTGCTTTACTGGTTGATCAGCTTCTTTCCCCAGGTGAGCATCAGTCATGTGGACAGGTCACTACATGCTGGAGTATCCAGACTCAAACAGCGCATGATGCAGAGTGTTATGTATTCCCGCATCAGCTCTGCCTCTTGTATCAGGAGATAAAACAGGCTGAACACATTGTCCTCAATCTTTTCTCAGCCCCTGCCCCAATCCAGGTGTGTGGAGAGCTGCCATCTGGGATTCTTCAAGGTGGCTCAGGAAGGAAAGCCAGTTTGTTGCTATGACTGCTCTCCTTGCCCTGAAAGAACCATCTCTGTCCAGGAAGGTGGGTGTCTCCAGGGAGAAAGTCATCCTTGTGTAGGAGAACAAGGATTCCTTTTCATCAAGGGTGTTGTTGGTCAGGTGTCATGTGGATTGGTGTGGTGACTTAGATGGAGATCCTGAATATTGGACCAATGACCCACTGTGCTATTGTCCTCACCCACCATTAGAGCACTCAGAATATCTCACATGATTTCACTAATTACAAAGAGTAGCCTGGTAAATTCTAACCCAAGAACCCCAGATCTCCAGGTGTCTAGTCTAAATCATAAGGCACAAGCTCTCAAATTCTGAAATGAACTGATGGGGATTAGGAAAGAAAAATGACTGTCTTGTATGTTTAGGGAAAATATTGTTTTTCTTTTCAGATTCATCCCATTGCACTAAATGTCCAGAAGATCTGCATCCAAATGTGGGTCTGGATCTCTGCATCCCAAAGACCACCACCTTCCAATCCTACGAAGAATCTTTTGGCATTGTCCTTGCTTCCATTGCCCTGTTCTTGTCTTTCATCACAAGCTTTGTGTTAGGACTCCACCAAATTCCTACAAACTCCCATAGTCAAAGCCAACAACGATGATCTCTCCTACATTCCCCTGATCTCCCTGCTGCTCTCTTTCTTGACCCCCTTCCTGTTTATTGGCAGGCCAAGGGAGGTGACTTGCTTTCTCCAACAAACGGCCTTCATCGTCATCTTCTCAGTTGCTTTTTCTGCTTTGCTGGCCAAAACCATCATGGTGGTGCTTGCCTTCCTGGCCAGCAAGCCAGGAAACAGGGTCAGGGCATGTCTGGGGAAGAGCCTGGCAACTCCATTGTCCTCTCCTGTTCTGGTGTCCAAGTTCTCCTCTGCATCATCTGGCTGGCCACCTCTCCACCTTTCCCTGAGTCTGACATGAGAACCCTGACAAGACAGATCACTCTGCAGTGCAGCGAAGGCTCTGTGGCCATGTTCTATGCTTCCCTTGACTACATGGGCTTCCTGGCTGCCATCTGCTTCATGGTGGCCTTTCTGGCCAGGAAGCTGCCTAGGGCCTTTAAAGAGGCAAAGCTGATCATTTTCAGTATGCTTGCCTTCCGCAGTTTCTGGGTGTCCTCTGTACCCGCCTACCTGAGCACAAGGGGCACAAATTCCTACAAACTCCCATAGTCAAAGCCAACAACGATGATCTCTCCTACATTCCCCTGATCTCCCTGCTGCTCTCTTTCTTGACCCCCTTCCTGTTTATTGGCAGGCCAAGGGAGGTGACTTGCTTTCTCCAACAAACGGCCTTCATCGTCATCTTCTCTGACTTCAGTTTCCATGAACCGGATGGTCTCTTCCAATCAGGTGGGCTTCTGACATATCACCCTGCACCTGGCAGGTGGGCGTAGGGTTGTCACATAGTGAGTGAGTAGGAGCCACTTAGTCACCTGCTCTTTCCATCAGGCAGCTTGTTTCAGTCAATGGGCTGGAACGTTTGGCCCACCACCTGAGCTGGGGTGCCACGATTGAAGATGATGGCTCACATCCCCTGCCAGCAAGTGTACTCTGACACATTCAGGATCCCCAGGATGGCCGCATTTAACTTACACAGCAGATTCCAGTGATAGTGTACTGACTGCTTCTTGAGCAGTTCCGCTCAAGCAAGGGGTCACTATCAGGGCCCATTGCCCTTTAGTTCATCCAGCTGCCAGAGCTACCCTTTCAAATGCATTCAGGAAAGCCCCTGGTCATCCTCAGTATGTCAAGGTCCAGGGCGTAGGCAGCTGGGTATTGGATCAGGGCACCAGGACCCAGAAAACAGCTATGCTTTGAGGGCCTACTCTGAATTGCAGTCAAGCAGCCTGGAGGGTGAGGCTGGTAAGAGAAGTGCAAGGTAAGTCAGTTCGAATAGCAAAGAGAAATCAAAGCCAGTCAGAAGATGTAAGTCAGAGGAACAAGACAAGCAGCACAGGGTAGCTGGGATTGGAGATGAAAGTGGAGCTGGTGGAGACTGGGAGCTGGGCAGGGTGCAGAGACTGAGGCAGAAAAAGGTCTTGAAGGCACAGAGAGTTCATACTATGTCAAAGACCCTCATAGCTGAAGCTTCGTCTGGAAGGATGGGCCGGTTCTTACATAGCCCTTCTCTCAGAGCTCCCATGTGCTGCTAGAAGGTGTCCAATGTGTCCATGATTGGCTGTGGGTTGCTATTGTGCTCTCTGGCCAGAAGGGGGAGCCCTGATGCTGCCTCAGAACAAGCGCAGTTGTCACTTTAGAAATGCGGATAGAGCCATCCATCTCCCTCTGAGTTTCGTGGAGGTGCCAGCCTCTGTCTCCCCAGGTTTGGTCTGAAGCATGCCAGGCCTGTTGAATTAGCGAGTTCTGTTTTGGTGTTGGGCACTGAACACCAGTTCCAGCCAGTGAGTTTGACAGTTGACTATTTGCAGCAGGTGCTGTTGTTCCTCAGCTTGCTGCTTCTGCTGCTCAGCTAGCCAGGCGATCCAGGGGTCGGGATGGGTGGAGGGGCTGCTGCTGCCCCCCTGCCTTGTGCTTGCCTGCCTTCTCTGCCTGTGCAGGATGTGGTGAGGGGGAGGAGGATAAAACTCCCCCGCTCCATAGTCTATTGTCGAAGAGGAACTCTTTGCTTTATTCAGGAATTAGCTCCTTGTCTGGCAAAAACACCATGTCAACCCAGGACAGCTAGTTGGCTTTGTCAGGAGAGAGAAGCACACACAGTCCACTGGTGCAGAGTAGGGAAGAGAGCAATGCCCCGCTGAAGGTCCCCTTGCAAACTCCCAGTTCCCAGAAGGGACTAGCAAGCCCCCATGAATTCCCATGATGGTGAACAGAAGAGGGAATTTGTCTGCCATTGGTCGCCATTTCAGAAACATCCTCTAAAAAGATGTTCATTTGGTGCCCTCACTACTGCCTTTGGTGCCAGGTGAAAAGTTTCATTACAGGCATTTTAATCCTGGATTTTATTTGGAAATTTTTAATTTGTTTTTGTGCAATAGGAACAGTTTTAATTGTTTCCCACAGCTATGTACACTCTTGTGTTATTCTTATTTGTTCATAGTAGTTTAACAGTTTATTTTATTTTTATTGTCTGTTTTGGATGTTGAGAGCTGTTTAGCAGGAAATAAGTGTATAAATAATTAAATAAATACATTTGGTAAACTAAACCCCATTTAACCTTAAGGCTTGATTTCAAACTGCATCCCCTGAATGTGCTTTTGAACCATACTTGCCAACGCTGATGCCAGGTCGCACATCAGACCTCAGGCAGGAAGCCACACCAGACTATGTACACCACCATCTTTCTTCAGCTGTGTCTGAGCCCCTTGGAGAAATCAAGCGGGGTCTGTGGTGCTCCTCTTTCCCATTGCAAATAGAACAACCACACCAATTTCCTTCTTGGTGTATCACCAAACCCCATGGGATTCCTCTAAAGATTTCTTTTTAAGTCAACATCTGAAGCAAAAACAACGTAACTGGCAAATGGGCCTGAAAAGCTGGGCACATAAATACCTCAGGAGAATTTGAATGAGGATCAGGGAAGAAGAGGAGGATGCGGAGCACACTTTCGCACCTGTTGCACTGCTCCTCAGAGGTGAAGGCATCCCCAACTGGGCTCCGCCTGCGTTAGGAAGACGAGTCTGCGACCTTGAAAGAGGGTTGTGCTTTCCTTCAAGAAATCTTCGAATCGGTTCAGGAGAGTAAAGTAGCTGTAGCTCCTGGTGTACCCGGAATGATTCTGTTGCTGCAGCTTTTGCTTCTGCCCTGGGAAACCTGTGATGCACCCAAGACCAAATGCCCTCTGCATCTGGAGCGTGGCCTGAGCCCATCCAGTTACAACAGGCCAGGCAACTTGCTCATTAGTGCAGCCATCTCTGCAAGCCATGCAGAATTTTTCTTTAAAGACGACTTCAGCAAACGTGCTTCATCAAGCAGTATTGCCAGGCAAGTCATTGTTATTTGGTGGAGTTCAGTGTCCATCCATTCTGCGCTGTGCTCAGTGTGCTCTGCCCACTGATTTGCAGGGAACCCAAATCCTGTGATCAAGGACCTGCCCATGGCAAGGGTCTGACTAGGTCCCCTCTGTGGTGAGGTTGTACCAATGCACACATCCAGTGCAAGGTCCATCCAGTGCTCAGGCTGTCCTTTCAAGCACTGCAACTAGCCAGGCACCGGTCAGATGAGTGGTGTGACCATCTTCTCCCATGGGATTTCAAGCTCCCCACAACCCCATGGGGCCATCCTGTGTTGAAGATGGTAGGAGATTCAGGGCATGGGGAAGGCAGGATTTCAAACAGCACATAGTTGGCCTCTGGGGTTCTCATGCTGTAGGCTTGGGCACCAGGTTGGATGGCCTGAAGGGAGACTGGAAACCTCCATTCAGGAGAAGCCCCTCTGCATTATTCTGAGCTTTCCCGTTCTGAAGATGGGAACTGACCCTGGAGGAAAAGGCAGGTAGTCTGGGAACATGCCAGTGTAGCAGTAGGAAAGATTTCTTCAGGCAGAGCACCTGCCCTGGAGGAGAGTCCCACGGGCCAGTCAGCTGTTGTAAGCCGTCCAGAGATGACAGTAATCCATGACCTACAATTTTTCCTCAATAAATAAATAAAAATAAACCAAAGACCAAGAAAGCTTAGGTTTGACTACATATCAAAATGCCAAGCATAAATGAACTAATGAAAACTACCCTACCTTCCGACTGCTCTGAAATAAGAGAAGGGTTTAGAACAACCACCACAGCTCTCTCTCCTTTTATTCTCTACCTGTCCTTCTCTTTGGAAATCCTGTCTCTTACTTTGTTTCTTCAGACATTCAAGTCATTTCCAATGGGACCTTTAGATTCTTGGGAATATAAAAGAACTTCCTTTGTCCAGTATGAATAATTTCTGAATAATTTTGTGCATCATTTCCAGCCATCATTTGCCTTGCCCTTTCCATACAGCAAACAAAGCACGATATGCATCTTTCTTGAGCTGAAATGTAAGATTTTCACCTGATCAGAAAAAATACTTCCTGTACAAGGGCCCATATGATAGAATTGTTGCTTGAAGTTCAGTTTCATTGGGCTTGTTAAAGGTGAAGGTGAATTGATTCGACGTTGCATTGAAGGATGTGCTTTGCCCATGTTTTCTCATGATATTCCCAGCAATTTTGGGATGACTTGTGTTATATGCAATTTGAGGTGGGTGAGTGGGTGAATAGATTACTTGTTCTCTTTCTGGTTAGATCCCCTGTTTCACCCTGGGTGTATGTGGAGAGGCAACAAGAAGAACTCATTGTCCACATAAGTTCGAACTTATTGAAAATTTGTTCAGGAAATGCTACAAAGAAGGGCAATTATGGTGAAAGTCAATTGTCCTCTTCCATGGTCTCATATCATTCAGTGATTTAAAAAACCACAAAGACAAAGTCATGTAGCAAATACAGCAGACATCCATGAAAATGGCTGAAGAGGAATAGGTAGCAGAAAGAGTAACTGAAACCTTTAGTTCAAGAAAAGTCAAGACCATGTTCGGGTTTCAAAGTGTCCAGGGAAGCACCACAATGGGAATGCCAGAAGCAGAACACATGGGCAACACCACCCTCCTCCCCATGTTCCCATGCCACTAGAATGAGCATTTGAAGGCAAAGGAGGAAGATCTGAACATGTTGTTCCCATTGTATATATTTGCAGGGAGCTATGGAAAGACTTTTCAGACATCCTGTCCTTCCTGTTTGCCATTCAGGAGATCAACCAGAACCCTGGGATCTTGCCCAACCTCACCCTGGGCTACTCCATCCATGACACCTATTCCGATGCAAGGATGACGGCGGACGCCCTGCTGGACCTGCTCTCTCCAGGGCAGGCCAATATTCCCAACTACGGCTGCGGATGCCATGGTCACCCCTTGGCTGTCCTGGAAAGATCCCAGTCTGACTTCTCCATCCAGATGTCCACCCTATTGGGCATCTACAAGATCCCACAGGTGAGATAGCAGGGGAGGGGTGGTGGCACACATTTACCAGAAAATCGGACTTTTTCAGCCTGGGAACTCAGGAGGGGTTACTGGAAGCCTACAGTGAGACAGGGGACATGAATTTGAAGAAATAATCCTAAATGCAACTCAAAATACACCTCTTTCACATGCCTGGAATGATTTTTCATTTCAAGTTCCAAACAGCATCACTTTCTTGAAAAATCTTCCCCTAGTGCGACAGAGAAACGGGGAAGGGCAGATCTAACTCAAAAAGAGTTCAATAGGACTTGCTTAATACAAAGGGCCAATATGACTTCCTTTCTTTCTCTTTAAATACACTAAAAAGAGGTGGTCAGACAAGGAGTTTTTCTGGTTCTGCCTTGTGAAGCCAAAGTTTTCTGCCAATGCACTGCAACATGAGGAAAGTCAGAAAATAGAATACTTATAGGGGGCTGGAAAAATAGGTGGAAGAGAAGGCTCCAAGGGCACCCTGATTTGAAGGCTGTGTGATTCTTCCAAGAAGTTTTCCAGTTCCAGTAGTTGTGGACCATGTCCAGAAAGATGCTGTTGCAATTCTGCCCCACACATGTGTGTACCCAGAGGGGCAATGGAACTGAAAGAAAATATAGTGGATGAACAACCAGCATTACCATGTGGAACCCCCCCCCTTTGTTCTTGAGAACATGTGCACAGTGAGGATGGAAGCATTTCCCACAGCAACAAGTCCTCTTTCCAGCAGAAGTGATCCCTCCCCCTTTAACAATGGCCCGCATCGCTCTATTTCTAGTCAATGATTTGGGTAGGGGGCATCAAGGTCTGCTTGGTGATCTGAAGCAAACATGTGTGCCTCTCTTGCTTTCCTTGCCAGGTCAGTCATGCTTTGGTCACTCGTGTTCGCAATGATCCAGCCCAGTTCCCCTATTTCCATCCGAGGGTCCCCAGAGACCCGACCCCGTACCAGGGGATCGCCAGGCTGCTCCTGCTTTTCCACTGGACACTGGTGGGCCTCATTGCCGCAGACACTGAGAACGGGGACCGGTTCATGAGGTCCTCAACAGTGGAGCTTATGCAGCACAGAGTATGCGTTGTTTTCACACAAAGATTTGCAATGAGGGAATCACTTCCATTAAAAATATATCCAGCTTCATTTCACGGGTCAGCAAAAGTCAATGTTTTTGTGTATTGTGCAGAGTCCAGCTCCTTCATACTTGGAATGTACATCATACAAGACAACAGTGGTTACTTCAGGAAAAACCCAGGAGGGAAAGTCTGGATCACAACAGCTGTGTGGGATTTCACTTTGGAGCTCAGAATGTATCCATGTTCCCCAAACATTCACGGCATATTTTCCTTCCTGCCGCAGTCAAAGAAAAGGGTCAAATATGAAAATCTTCTCTCATTTTTCCATTTTATTCGGGATTTTCGGGAGAAAGCATTCGCATGTGCATACAGAAAGCATGTCCTGTCCGTGAAAGGGTTGACGAGGTGCCGAGAAGCCAAGAACCTGCAGGCCATTTCACAAGTGGACCGGGAGAGGATTCTTTCACTCGACAGCCAAGCCACTTACCAGAGCGTCCTGGCTGTGGCTTGTGCCTTGGATGCTGCCTACAGCTCCAGATCCAGGAGGACAGTGGTGGAGCGTGGAGGCAAGCTGCATGTTCAAAGCCTAGGGCCATGGCAGGTGCTCCATTTTCCTCACTCATCTCCCTACTGAATTGGAGGATTTGGTTGTCTTGCCTTAGCATTTGAATCTGAGAAAAAGCAGAGTGTAATAGCAATGTTGGCCACATCTAATTTTGGACGACACCTTGTACTTTGAACCATTCATCCATATGCTGCCCATTTTTAAGGCAACATTTTTGCAGGGATGCTGGAATTCTTTTCTTGATCAGTTGGTAGATTCCCCATATTATTCCTTGGGCCTTTTCCAAGCATAGCATTGGGTCCTCCAGTGGGACAATGGGGCCAAAAGACCATCTTCCCAAAAGGGACAACCCCATTGAGGGTTCCTCTTTCTGTTTCCTTGGGTGACCTCACAGGACCACTTAGGACTACCTGGACCTCCTTTCTCTGTGAGAATAGCTGTGGAGCTGGAGCCCTCATAGGTCCATTGCTGGCTGGCTAAAGGGCTTCCATCATGAGTCTCAACTTAAAAACAGAGAAGCAGAGTGAGTCAGAAGGGACCACCCAATCCTTCTTTTCTGACACAATTACAGCATGACCTCTTATTTTGATTTGGAGAGTTTCATCATAGGCGTTTCAAGGTTAGAATATAGACAAGCAGTTTCCCTTGGGCCTCTCCAATACAATGCTAACCAGAGATGGCCTGAGCAGCAATGCCATTGTCCATGAACAAGCCTCTGCCAGCACAACCTTCAGCTATCATTGCTACCCAGGAGCTGCCCTACAGGTGTTTATCCACTCCAACACCACTAGAGAGATTTCTACTATTCTCCTTTGTGACTGTTCCTCCTAAGGAAAGCATTTCCACCTTCATGTGGTGGCTCAGCTATGAGCTTTCCACCTTGGTGACCCTGCCGTGGTCTCTGTCATATGTGAGAAAAACAGGAAAACAGAAAGTACTTACAATCCATTTAAGACCATAATCAGCTTATAAGCATATTGAAGTGTTGTGTGAACTGGGCAGCACTGATTGATCAGCTGCTATTTTCCTGTTAATCAAATCCTAGTGTTCCCAATTCTTCCTAGATTCTCCATTTCCTGAGGAACTCGCCATGTTCTAATACATCTGTTATAGATGGAGTTTTTTTGGATGAGCATGGAAACCTGGCTGCTGACTTGGACATCATGAACTGGATGGTGCTCCCAAACCGGTCTGTTGTTAGAGAGAAGTTTGGAAGTGTGACAAGGTGGGGATCTGCAGGCCTTGCATACACGACCCACCAGGAGGCCCTTGTGTGGTCCCAGAAGCTGAGCAAGGTCAGGAGAAAGCATGTGCTGTACAGGCTCCTTGCCAGATGTGAGCATATAAGGACAGGAGCCCATTCTGATTTCCAAACATGGTCTTGAGGGGATGACATGCTAACATTGCCCTGAAGTTTCGCTGACTGGAGATGCCATGAACTGAAATGGGGCCACATGGGCTGACCACATAATTCCTCACACCTTCACTGGCCAAAAGTCCATTCCCAGCTGAAGCCCCTCATGGGGCTGCTTCCATCCCAGCAAAGGCTCAATGCACTTGTGATTGAATTGCCTGAAGGAGAACCTTGGCCTATAGAGCAGAATGTTTTTAAGGTATTTGGAATAATAGGCATTTCCTCTGCCTGCCACCACCTGAAACATTTCCCAAAGAAATATTAAATTGAATTATTTCACTGACGAAATGGAAAAATGAGATTTCATTCTCTTTCCACCCGTAGCTGGAAATCATTATAAAGGAACACAAGAAGGCCCTGATACTAGCCCAGATCAAGTGTCCCACAAGGTTAGGGTTCTGTTCCCACCAGGACCAAATAGAAGAAGGCTTCAAAACACATTGAGAGTAGAACCTTGGCCCTGCTCTTTGCTGCTGCACACCTTTGAGGCCAGTTCATGGGGCAGGAAGTTCTCAGATGAACCTGTGAAGCTTCCCTAGATGGAGTGTGACTGCCAGGGCTTAGAAAGCTGTGCTGTCACTCCAGATCATCAGACCTTCTGGCACATCAGCATCTTTCCCCACGTGTTCATCAGTCATGTAAACAAGTCACTACGTGCTGGAGAATCCAGACTCAAATAGTGCATGATGCGGTAGCCTATGTATTTCCACTCAACTCTGTCTCTTGTATCAGGTGATAAAAAAGGCCTAATACATTCTCCTCCATCTTTTCTCAGCCCCTGCCCCAATCCAGATGTGTGGAGAGCTGCCACCCAGGATTCTTCAAGGTGGCTCAGGATGGAAAGCCCACTTGCTGCTTCGACTGTACCCCTTGCCCTGAAGGGGCCATATCTGTCCAGGAAGGTGGGTGTCTCCAGGGCGAAAGCCATCCTTGGGGAAGAGGGCAAGGATTCCTTTTCATCAAGTGTGTTGTTAGTTCAGTGTCATGTGGATTTGTGTGGTGAGTTAGCTTGCGATCCTGTGCATTGGACCAATGACCCACTGTGCTACAGGCCTCACCCACCATCAGAGTACTCAGAATATCTCTCCCTAAGTAATTTCACTAATTACAGAGAGTAGAATGGTCAATTCCAGCCCAAGTACCCCAGATCTCCACATGGCTATCCTAACTCTTGGCCAAACGCTCTCACAAACCAAAAGAACAGATTGGAACTAGGAAAGGAAACAGACTGTCGCATATGTGAAAGGAAGATATTCTTCTTGTTCTTTTCAGATTCAGCCCATTGTACCAAGTGTCCAGAAGATCAGCATCCAAACAAGGGTCGAGATCGCTGCGTCCCAAAGGCCATAACATTCCTGTCCTACAAAGAACCGTTGGGGGTTGTTCTTGCTTCCATTGCCCTATTTTTGTCTTTCATCACAAGCTGTGTGTTAGGACTCTTCATCAAATTCCTAGAAACTCCCATAGTTAAAGCCAACAACCGGGACCTCTCCTATATTCTCCTCATTTCCCTTCTGCTTTCCTTTTTGTCCTCCTTCCTCTTCATTGGCAGGCCAAGGGAGGTGACTTGCTTTCTCCAACAAACGGCCTTCAGCGTCATTTTCTCAGTCGCTGTCTCTGCTTTGTTGGCCAAAACTACCATGGTGGTCCTTGCATTCCTGGCCACCAAGCCAGGGAACAAGGTCAGGGCATGGCTGGGGAAGAGCCTGACCAACTCCATTGTCCTCTCCTGTTCTGGTGTCCAGGTTCTCCTCTGCACCATCTGGCTGGCCACCTCTCCCCCATTCCCTGACTCAGACAAGCACTCCCAGCCTGGGCAGATCATCCTGCAGTGCAACGAAGGCTCTGTGGCCATGTTCTACGCTGCCCTCAGCTATATGGGCCTTCTGGCTGCTGTCTGCTTCACAGTGGCCTTCCTGGCCAGGAAGCTGCCTGGAGCCTTCAACGAGGCCAAGCTGATCACCTTCAGCATGCTGGTCTTCTGCAGTGTCTGGGTGTCCTTCGTGCCCACCTACCTGAGCACAAGGGGCATGTACATGGTGGCTGTGCAGGTCTTCTCCATGTTAGCCTCCAGTGCTGGGCTGCTGGGCTGCATCTTCCTGCCCAAGTGCTACATCATTGCATTGAGGCCTTATCTGAATACCAAGGACCAGCTAACAAAGACAATGAAAAATAAAATTTAATTATTATCGAACAGTTTTCCATGGGCTTCTTTTGTAAGCCTTCACCTCCAGCATTCAAAAGGGTCGATAGAAATAGTATTTTATCATTCCTTATTTTTTTCTTGTTTCTTGGTACTTTGGCATGAATGTTTGCTGGACACTTTTGAGCTTTGAAGTACTAGCAATGTGCATCGGAAGTGGGAAAATGGCATCTTGCAAAGGGAAAGGCCAGTAGACTGCTGTGATCAAAAAGAGATGGTGGTCTGACCCTTGCTTCTGGCCCTTTCCTGTCAACCCTCCAGTTCTTCTCTTCTTCTCCATTGGGGACTGAGCTTGCTTCCTCTATCTCTTTCCCACCTCCTGCTGCCTAGGCCTGAGAACATTTAGAGTCTGCTGTCCCATCTGGATATTTTACTGTCTTTTGTCCACCTGGATAATTGTTTGTTCCCAAAGAGTTACATGCAGAACAGACTCACCTGAATATTTGAATGTTCACTCCCAGGATTCTACCTTCTGACTGCTCTGTAATAACAGATGGATTTCCAACAATCAACCCAGCCCTTTTTCCTTTTGTTCTCTCCTTGGTCTTCTCTTTGCAAATCCTGTCTCTTACTTTGCATCTTCAGACATTCAAGCCATTTCCCAAGAGACCTTTGCATTCTTGGTGGAATAAACATACTTCCTTTGTCCAGAATGAATCATTCCTGCATTATTGTGTACATTATTTCCTGCCATTATTTTGTCTTGCCATCTCTATGCAGCAAACAGTGCACATAATATCCAGCTTTCTTGCCCTGAATGACAGACTTTCATCTGATCATTACAAATACTTCCTGCCCGAGATCCCCTAAGATGGAACTGCTGTTTTAAGTCCCAAAGCATAGGAATGGATGTCTTAAGTACAGGTTATGGGACAGGTGGCTACAGAGCAGCACTTGTGAAAGGGTCCTAGGCATGCTGGCTGACTGCAGGCTAAACAAAAGTCAACAGTGTGATGTGGTGGTCAAGAGGGTGAACACCACCTTTTGTTTCATGGCCAGAGCATGGCTTCTAGATCAAGAGAGGTATTGCTACCTCTCTATACAGCTCTGGTACAACCGCAACTGGAGTATTGTGCACAGTTTTGTGCCCACCGTTACATGAAGGATATAGCCAGTTTAGAATCAGTGCAGTGCAGGGCCACATGGTTGGTGGCCTGCTTGCATGGAAAGCTGTATGAGGTGGGATTGAGGTGACTGGGTCTTTTCAGTCTGGAGAAGAGGAGAAGGGGAATCAGAGGGGAACTGTTGGTGACATACAAGTATGTGAAGGGGTGTCACATGGAGGTGGGTAGAGACCTGTTCTTCTCTGCAGATTAGGGCAGGATGCACTCTAACGAAGCAAAGCCCAGGAAAACAAGGTTCCATTTAGATGCCAGGAAGCACTTCCTGACAGTTATAACCCCCAGGGTATGGAATGGGCTTCCACAGGAGGTGGTTGAGGCCCCATCGGTGAGGGTGTTCAAAGATAGGCTGGACATGCACATGGTGGGCATGTCGTGATCAGAGCCAGTTGGAGCTGGAGGTCAGACTAGATGGCCCGTGAGGCCCCTTCTCACTCGCTCTGTTACTATGTTTCTAAGACTGCTTTGATCACAAAGCAATGTGCTGTGTCCCCATCCTTCCCTTGTGTCTGGTCCTTCCCTTTCCACCTTCCAGTTCTTCACTTCTTCTCCACTGGGGACTCAGCTTGCTGTCTCTTGCCCTTTCCCACCTGTGACTGCTTAGGCCTGAAAACATTTAGAGTCTGCTGTTCCTAGATTGTAATTCAGTTCTGCTTTTGGACACTCCTCTTTGTATTCTGAACTTCTGCTGATACCTGGGAAGATAATTGTTTCATCCGCTGGGCATAGTTCACTTACTGATATGGATCTTCCCAAGCTTTGGTTACTTTGAAATAATCATGGCCTGGGAACCAGATAGGTAGGTCAAGTTCGAGCATTTGGCATGTGGATGTCCTGGACAAATCCACCTGGATATTTGCATGTCCATTCCCAATGAGTTTCATGGAAAACAACCTCATCTCTTCTAGTTCAATGAGAGCAGGTGGGAATTTGGGAACACGAAAGACATACCCATGGTCAGGAACCCTTCCTAAGAGAAGAAGGTCAGGACACTACTGGCTGCAGATGGTGCTGAGCACCAGCAAAGATCAGGCACATGGTCATTTTTGGTGAGCTCCGAAGAGCAGGAGACAATTCATGGAACTCTGTTCCCCCCTTTCCTTTATCATCGCTGTCCTGCAGTAAAGCAACAAAGTCCCCTCATCCCTAGCACAAGTGTGGCTTTTGTCCCTTGACCCAAAGAACCACTTTCACTGGTGGGAGAAAGCAGAGGGGCATTCTGTCCTCACTTGCCTGCCAGACTTGTTCATCTTGCAAAAACTTACAGGATTACTCCCAACCTGTGGGTGATTGCAGGGTTGTGGTTCATCCAGTCATGCAGACCAGGAGCTCAGACATAAGAGGCCCTGAAAAAGGCTCCACTTCCAGGGGCTTGGGGACTCTTGGCCATGGCTGGTTTCTTATCTTGATTTGCCCTTTACTTCCCATCCTGCAACACTTCCAATCATGCCTGGACTTTTCCTGCCAGTTCTTTTTTTTTCTTCTGAGCCTGCAACCACTTGAGAAGGTTTTGAGCACAGTCTGAAGTCACCCTGACCCTCCATTTTTCTCCATCATTCCTGGCCCTGGTCTTCCAGCCCAGAACATTTGCTGCTTTCTCCCAGGGTGACAAACATCTCCTCTGAAATCCCCCATATGTATGGGTTAACTGGAAAATATTGTGCCATCAAAGTTGAACTAGATTGCTTCCAGCCTGAGCAACGGTCAAGGAAAATTCTCAATGGTCCACGACCCCTGCAAGGAGAAGAAAATCCAATTTTGCATGCTGCCATCCATGCCTAAATCTCATGGTAAAGGCACAAACTTGCTAAGCCAGATACGTACCACCCGGTGAGCTGTGGGTTGCCCTCTTTCATGTGATTTAGCACTGTTGTGGCTCATGGTCGGTAATTAGCATGAAGGGGGCACCCCAGAATTTGTTGCAGATTCACTTGAATTTTCCTTGTCCTGCACTCTGGTATCAGGTCTCTTTGTTTCAGCCTTTGAAGGACTTCTAGATGGATATCATGTCCTTCCCTCTGTCTTCTCTTCTCAAGTCAGAACATGCCCAATTCTCTCATGTTCATCAGTAGCTCAAGATTCTGACTTTTATGAATCACCCAACCATCCATTCTTGGTATATGAGTGATACAGACATTAACAAACAAACAAATTTATCTTGCAGTTTTCCATAGCTGGGAAAAAGGATGCTCCATATCAAAAATTGGGAAACTGCAAGCAACATTTTTCCTCCTTTAATCACATTAGAAATGCTTTCTGTTCTGTGTTTTCTTCTTTCTGCTAATCGTTTCTGTTTGCAGTCTGAAAATTTCGTACCATATTTTGACTTGTCACCAGGTAAACCATGTTCACAGGATGCTGACTGAAAGAACTACAATGCAGCTTCTCATATTTTTCAAAAATTTCCTGTGCACTAGGAAAACTTTTGCCATGAGACATGTGGGGTCCAAAATCTCCCTTCCCATACCTTCTTGGTGGTGTATTGGCACACAATCCTACCAAATGTCCAATTCATGCAACTGCTATTTTTTAATTCATGAATAGAAGAATGGAATAATTTTTCCCTTATACTCCTCACTAGTCAGATCTCATTAAAATCCCTCTTTAAGTGTTTTCCCCCAATCTTTCTGCTCTGCCCAGCCCAGCTTCCTCTTCTGCATTTGGAGAGGGGTTCTGTTTCCAGGAATGGGAAGATCTGAAAACAGGGAAGTCCCTGTAGGAGGAGTGGAAAAAGATGGAAGATTCAAGAAGGGGATCCAGTGAACACTGTCTAAGAATTCAACATTTTCCAGTCCCCTTCCCTTCCCTTACATAGTTTCCCCTGCTTTTATGCAGGTCCACTTCTGTTCTGGGGCAAAGGAAGGTCTCCGCTCTACATGTGCTGCTCTGCTGCAGATGAGGCGGCTCTCAAGGCAAGGAAGCCAGCAGAAGAATGGCAGGCTGAGCTGACTGCACTGGGCAACTTGAGGCAAAGGACCCCCTTAGGCTAGAGGGGCTCTGGCAGTGGAGAGGCTTCTTGAAGTTTTTTGCAGTCCTTTGAACATGTTTGCTTGAAAGCAATGGAGCTGCTTCAATGGGGGCCCTGCAGCCTTCCCCCACTGGCCTCCTTGTGCCACATTTTGTGGATGGGCAGCCTGAAAGCAGGACAGAACACTCCACATTCCCTGCTAATCCATCCTCTGCAGCCCATGCAGACCTCCTCAAGATTGCAGAGGGCTCAGCTTGTCAAGTGGCCCAGACCCCACATGTGAGAGCTCCTTCTATGACATTTCAAAAAAGGGAGATCTTTTTTACCCATGCATGGTGCACTTCAAGCCAGGCACTCTGCCCCAGTATGACATGCAAACTGCAATACTGCAAGAGAGGTGGCTGAGAGAGGTGCTAGACACTCCAGGGTCACCCTGAGCAGCTTTGCGCCCATAGAGAGGAAAGGGGAAATCTGCAGTGGGCAAAGCATGAAAAGTTTGGAGCCCACCTGCTGCAGTGTTTGAACCTACCTGTGGGACTGGATCTGGGTGGTCCTGTTATGGTCACCACGCAGCCGTGGAGCCCACTGGGTGACTTTGGGTCAGCCACGGATCATTGGCCCAATTTACCTGACAGGAAGGAAAATTCTGTCAGCTCCTCTGAGCCCCTTGAAGGAAAAGGGGCTGGATATAAATCAGTCAAATGAACAAATGAGTGAATACATACTGTGACAAGGTACTCCATATTTGGTAGAGAGGAATGCGCATCATTGCTGGGCCTTCCATGCCTACTTTACACCCCTCAGAAAAACAAGAAGCATCATGGACTTTCCCCACCCATCATGGACTGCATAGAAGCCTCCCTCCCAGTGCAGAAACTGCTGAAGCCCAGC